CGTAGACTCGAACTCGTGCCCTCAGATTACAAGGCAGGGTTGTGACCCTATAGGCTCCGGGTAGGAGTGCCTCGCAGCAAATGATCCCAGTCCTCAAAGCGTTGCGGATGCAGGTGAACACAAAGTGACCGCGTTGTGCGTGCGGGAAAACAAAGGCAGTACCAGGGAGGGGAAACGTTTGACGTGGTTATCTTTAAAGTGGTACGATCCCAAATGTAAATGCGATTAATCTGTCAAAGCGAAATATGGCGTTTGCGAGTGGATGCTAGGGCAACATGACTTTCGGGCGAACTCATTCGGAGATGAGCCAGTTGTCTACTGCAGCTCTATGTTCCCGACTCTGTCCCAGTTCGATACGAACGCAACCAGGTGGATTTGCAGGCTCGAGCTACTAAAGACCAGATAAAAGTTTTTACTAGAGAACAAGTTCATCCAGGCGCATGACAGACCTCCCAGGGAGAAGCTGCCAGTGCAGACGGTATAAGGAGATTGATCTATTTACGTTTTTAATGGAACTACTAGGCACATGCTCAGGTCTGCTTTAACATGTGTTTGCAATACTGCCAAGTTGCGACCCTTTCACACAGTACGAAGGCTTGTTCTACAAAAAAACGGTCTCCCACATTAATCACAAATGCACTTGCGGGTGTCCGAAAAGCGTCTGCACACTTCCAAAGTTAATCAGGCCGAGTAGTAAAGTGAGCCAGATGAACGCGCCCGAGGTGACATGGTACAACGAGTGTCGCAAAACGTCGACACTCAATGAAGCCTAAGCCATTAATGTGAACGGCCCAGTTTTGCGAGCAAACAAACGAAACTATAAGATGGATTACCTTGATCCTGAACACATAAGGTTCACCTAATACATGCAGAGCTGTTTCACACAAATGGGGGTGGGTCACTCATGCATTGCGGTTGCTACTAACGGGAGTAAGCTAGCGAACTTGATATCTTTCTTGTACTGACCAAGCATTTCGCTGGAATTCAGTGTTTCATACCTCGAATTTTTCGTTGTGACATCGTGTGACTATCACACAGTTTTGGGTCCCGCAATGTGTTATCTCCGAGCAATTGTTTAGGGAAGAGTATGAAGGCCAAACGCAATCCAAACACAATGATGAAGGTAGCCCGTAAGTGCGAAATCACGGAGAACAAGTAGCGTGGTAAGTACGACCACTCTGTGATATTCCCAGCTGTTTGGTATAGGTATCAAAATGTAGATGATTCAGAGTTTGCATTAGACACGGAACAAGGTAAAACACTTACGTAGTGAGAACGCAATTCCGCTTTTCTATGAAAGGTTCAGCCGAACTTAGTAAGCACTTGAAAATCCGATTCGCCAACACGGGCACCTAGTAGTTCCAGTTAGTTTGAATGTGAATATAGAGTCCGCGTTAAGCGTCGTTTGAGTTGTGAGTTCTTATAAGCACATTTTATCGGGGCTAAAAGCTTATGCAACAATACAATCAGTAAGAAGCCGGCAATTATAGAGTTATGTATGCTGTATGAAGGCAGCGCGAATGAACTGGAACGCATGTCGGAAGCAAATACAAATTAACCATAACAATGGATAAAACAGCATATATCTTCTTCAGCTCTTACTAGAATTCTGGCAGATGACGTGTTCCCATCAAATCGAGTGTTAGGTAACTTCGACATGTGCAGTCAACAGACTTAGGATTCCCAGTGGCGAAGCAAAGTGCAATCAGGTAAGCAGTTGCACACGAGAACCGTGTTTCGTAGCAACTATGAGTGGTATAGCAGTAGCAGAGAGTCAGACAGATCGTTTGCAATTCTAATCATGTGCGTTGACCACGTCAAACACCGGAATAACATACCCTGAGATTGGTCAACATGGAACAATGCAGAGAAAACAATAATTCGCTACGTTGTTTAAGAAGAGAACAAGTAACAGCAGAAGTGCAGAGAATAAGCTTGTAGATAAACACAAGGGGAGAGAGAAAACGGATAAGCGTATTTGGCAACAAATGATCACAGCCAGTTTTAAAAATGGTAAAGCGCAAATGTGAAGGCACTTCGGATATGTACTGGACAACCCTCGAGTTTCGTGGACTGCAATGGCAGAGAGAGAGAGATAATAAAGAGAATAAGATTCAAAAGTCGGTGCAGGCGAACATATGTTTTCAATAATTCTTATTCAGACTTGAACAATTACAGGTGGAAAAAACAAAATGCTTGACACAACGTAAGGGTTGGTAAGATAAGTTCGGTTCATAATCACTGATCAAGTACAATCACTATTCGTTAGGTCACAAGTGCGGTGTGAATACCATTCCGTGAGCCGGATGTCGTTGATGTCTCAATGGACAAAGAGATGAAATACCCGAGGAAGCAGAGTAATAAGGGTTCAACAAAATATCCTGATACTACATTCAAACGGCTCCATCGGACTTAGAATTAAATTCAAACTCAGTGATTAGAAGACATAAAGCAAAAAATCGCACGAAATAGGAAAGCAGAAACTACGTTAATTGCGAGATTATGACAGTTTCATGAGGCAGGTAGACGATAATGGTTGTTACCCGCCAAAAAACTCTGCACTCCATGACGCGTTTCGACTTTATTTGATCTCACCAGATAGAAATAGCAGACACCGAGAAACCGGGACCATCAGGATATTAGTTGGGACCTCTACCCGTAAGACACAGGATCCCGACGGGCAACGCCTGGCACAACGATTAATAACTGATTGGAGGGTCACTTTGAAATACATGTTGTGTGAATGGATTGCGACGCGCAATTTTAAGGTGGACCGCGATTTCCACTGAAGTGAGCCTTGGTCACTTGATCACTAGGACTGTAGCTGAAGCCGATGGAGATAGGGTGTTGCTCACTCGAGACACTTGAGTCCATGACGTGTTTCGGTCTTATTTGATCTCATGATTTAGAGATAGCGGGCAATGTCGTGGCCAGGTGGCTTAGGGACTGTGATCAAAAGTAACATCCTAAGGGCACCGGGTTTGATGCCTATCATCGCTATCTGATGAAATCAAAAGGCGTCATGGGGTGTAGGGTTAAGGGTGGAAACACCCAATCATCATTTGCTTCACCAGTTACGATCCTAGTGAGCGATTTGACCAATGTATACCTTGTGACTGACTGCACGTCGCAATCCATTCACACAAGGTGCAGTTCAAAATGACCCTGTAATAGTTTCATGAGGTGATGATGTGCATTCGAGATTTAGGTAACTATAAGTAGTGACCAGGAAAGATAAAAAAGCAATTTATCATATGAACCCCTAGGTCACGCCCCAGCTGACTCTAAACGCAGATCTTGTGTAGCCCATCGCTACTGGACACAGGTTGCATTTGTTCTGCCGATGTTCTCATTCAATTCTTCGAAAAGAAGAAAAAAAATCAGCAGCACGACAATTCGCTACCATGCAACGATCAATAGTGGGGCGCATGTTAGGAAGAATGTGAGCTCGCCCGCATATACCGTACGTTTGAGAAGAGTCTTTCGTTTTTGCTCAGTCGACGCGCAGGTCAGGGGTAGATTGGAGCGCACTAATTTGCCGACCCACCAATGGCATGTAAGTCTACTGTATTTACTCATCCACGCATGTCTGGGGGTGTGAATACGACGTGCGGACGCATTGCGGTGCATGTGTCCTTGAAATATGTTAATTACCCTCGTCGATTTGGACACCGGCCAGTTCAGATTGGGTCGATGCCGACGTTTTTGGCTGGTGCTAATCGGTTCAGTGCTGTTTGGCATGTTTGGGAGCCGTCACAGATTAGGGCAATATCGTCTGCATACTCCAAGTCAAGAAGTCGCTCACCAGGGAGTAGCTCCACACCTTCTAGGTCGTGTCTAGCGAACGCTGTTTCCATGACTTCATCAATAGCGAAGTTGAAGAGGAAAGGTGGTATGATGCGAAAAACTTGCGTCCATTCAGAAAATGTGTGTATCGTTTATTCCGTGTTAATATTTAGTATGCTCTTATCGCTGTTTTGGGCGAGTGCATAGCTTAATACATTCGTCGATGGGTCCGAGTGCAGAAAAACGTTACCCGTGGTACTGGATCCGTTTTTGTATCAGAAGTACGCCGCACCGACGCTTCGCCGCCGCGTAACCACTAACAATCGCGCATGGGCTAAGGATACTGCGACGGTCGACCGATCCCCTACGTAGACTCGAACTCGTGCCCTCAGATTACAAGGCAGGGTTGTGACCCTATAGGCTTCGGGTAGGAGTGACTCGCAGCGAATGATCTCAGTCCTCAAAGCAATTGTTTAGGGAAGAGTATGAAGGCCAAACGCAGTCCAAACACAATGATGAAGGTAGCCCGTAAGTGCGAAATCACGGAGAACAAGTAGTGTGGTAAGTAGGACCACTCTGATATTCCCAGCTGTTTGGTATAGGTATCAAAATGTAGGTGATTCAGAGTTTGCATTAGACATGGAACAAGGTAAAACACTGAGAACACAATTCCGCACTTAAAAATCCGATTCGCCAACACGGGCACCTAGTAGTTCCAGTTAGTTTGAATGTGAATATATATAGTCCGCGTTAAGCATCGTTTGAGTTGTGAGTTCTTATAAGCACATCTTATCGGGGCTAAAAGCCTGTGCAACGATACAATGAGTAAGAAGCCGGCAATTGTAGAGTTATGTATGCTGTATGAAGGCAGCGCGAATGAATTGGAACGCATGACGGAAGCAAATACAAATTAACCATAACAATGGATAAAGCAGCATATAGCTTCTTCAGCTCTTACTAGAATTCTAGTTGATGACGTGTTCCCCTCAAATCGAGTTAGGTAACTCCGACTTGTGCAGTCAACAGAGTTAGGATTCCCAGTGGCGAAGCAAAGTGCAATCAGGTGATCAGTTGCACACGAGAACCGTGTTTCGTAGCAACTATGAGTGGCATAGCAGTAGCAGACAGTCAGACAGATCGTTTGCAATTCTAATCATGTGCGTTGACCATGTCAAACACCGGAATAACATACCCTGAGATTGGTCAATATGGAACAATGCAGAGAAAACAATAATTCACTACGTTGTTCAAGAAGAGACCAAGTAACAGCAGAAGTGCAGAGAATAAGCTTGTAGATAAACACAAGGGGAGAGAGAAAACGGATAAGCGTATTTGGCAACAAATGATCACAGCCAGTTTTTAAATGGTAAAGCGCAAATGTGAAGGCACTTCGGATATGTATTGGACAACCCTCGAGTTTCGTGGACTGTAATGGCAGAGAGAGATAACAAAGAGAATAAGATTCAAAAGTCGATGCAAGCGAACATATGTTTTCAATAATTCTTCTTCAGGCTTGAACAATTATAGGTGGGGAAAAAACAAAATGTTTGACACAACATAAGGGTTGGTAAGATAAGTTCGGTTCATAATCAGTGATCAAGCACAATCACTATTCGTTAGGTTACAAATGCAGGTTTGTATACTATTCTGTGAGCCGGATGTCGTTGATGTATTAATGGACAATGAGATGAAATATACGAGGAAGCAGAGTAATAAGGGTTCAACAAAATATCCTGCTACTACATTCAAACGGCTCCATCGGACTTAGAATTAAATTCAAACAGAGTGATTAGAAGGCATAAATCAAAAAATCGCACGAAATAGGAAAGCAGAAACTACCCTAATTGTGAGATGATGACATAGTTTCATGAGGCAGGTAGACAATAGTGGTTGTTATCCGCCAAAAAACTCTGCACTCCATAACGCGTTTCCAGTTTATTTGATCTCACCAGATAGAAATAGCAGACACCGAGAAACCGGGACCATCAGGATATTAGTTGGGACCTCTACCCGTAAGACACAGGATCCCGACGGGCAACACCTGGCACAACGATTAATAACTGATTGGAGGGTCACTTTGAAATACATGTTGTGTGAATGGATTGCGAAGCGCAATCTCAAGGGGGACCGCGATTTCCACTGAAGTGAGCCTTGGTCACTTGATCACTAGGACGGTAGCTGAAGCCGATGGAGATAGGGTGATGCTCACTCAAGAAACTGGAGTCCATGACGTGTTTCGGTCTTATTTGATCTCATGAGTTAGAGATAGCGGGCATCGTCGTGGCCAGGTGGCTTAGGGGCTGTGAGCAAAAGCGTAACATCCTAAGGGCTCCGGGTTTGATGCCTATCATCGCTATCTGATGAAATCAAAAGGCGTCATGGGGTGTAGGGTTAAGGGTGGAAACACCCAATCATCATTTGTTTCACCAGTTACGATAGTAGTGAGCGATTTGACCAATGTCTACCTTGTGACTGACTGCGCGTCGCAATCCATTCACACGAGGTACAGTTCAAAATGACCCTGTAATAGTTTCATGAGGTGATGATGTGCATTCGAGATTTAAGTAACTATAAGTAGTGACCAGGAAAGATAAAAAAGCAATTTATCATATGAACCCCTAGGTCACGCCCCAGCTGACTCTAAACGCAGATCTTGTGTAGCCCATCGCTACTGGACACAGGTTGCATTTGTTCTGCCGATGTTCTCATTCAATTCATCGAAAAGAAGAAAAAGAATCAGCAGCACGACAATTCGCTACCATGCAACGATCAGTAGTGGGGCGCATGTTAGGAAGAATGTGAGTTCGCCCGCATCTACACGGATCTGGTTACAAGGCAGACATCTCATACCTTGGACCACACCTAAGCACGACGATCAACGCAATATGCATATGTTCGGTCCCGGATACAAACTGGATGGTTGCCAACGTTCAAGTAAGTTGAAGAAGCACAGAATGACAGTGACAACATCATGGTGATAGCGTCTTACTAAAACGGTGCTACTCACCCTATGCAATCGGCATGTAATCACGAAGCACCACACAACATGGAGTACATGATATTGTTGCGGTTACGAACTCTTCACTCCCCGGCGGACGAGCATCACTGCTTTTGGTCGATGTGCGGAGCGAATTACTCTGAGAGTCACAAGACAAGTAGAGCATGTTTCCACCATCATGCGCATGCCAAAATGCCGACTTTCACGGCGTGTGTTGCCTGTGTGACAGGAATCCGGTGGGAAGAAGAGAGGCCAGCTGATGAGTTCATCAATGGAAATGAGAGATCACACCACGAACTTGGCCTCGGTTAGCATAGGTTGGTTCCATGCTCGATGAACATATTTGGCTTCTTGATGTGGTGCAGAGCCGACCCCCTCTCTCGGAGTATTATTTGCCTTTCTAACTTAAAAATGCTTTTGCATTGTGGTGCCAGCGTAGAAGGAGGATGACGACTGCTAATCATGGACCGAATGCCACATCATGCAGCAACCACAGATCATCAAGCAGGGGTGGTAATCGTTTTCCCCTCTAAAGCTGAGTCGCTGTTGATTAAATGGATTGTGATGAGCAGTAGTTTGTCTGCAACCCGTTTGCAAAAGGAAACGAGATTAAAGCGCACGAAGCAACGATAGATGCCGTTTGGTTGGCATCGTTGCTGTTGCTACCATCGCCTAAAGCATTGAAGCTACCAAGAGCGTTTCCAAACACCAAGTCAACATGTTGTTTCGCAATGCTGTCACATCGAATATCGGATATGAATGTGTAACAGATGGTCTGAACTCCTCAGAAGCTCAGAGCTAGGTGGTAAGTTTGTCCTCAACTCTAAGATAGGAAGCGTTTGTTTCGCACGTGTGCTGAGAACTGGCTGTTTCGTAGCCCTTATGCCTTCAAGCATATTGGTTGCCGATTTGCCACTTGGTGTCCTTCGATAGCTGCTCAACGATACACTCTCAAACAAACTACATTGCACCAAGCTTCTGATGGCGTGGTGTGATTCTGGACAGTCGATCTATATGGAGTATGCGTCAAATTCTGATCAAGTCATGTTTCGGTGCGGTGAACTTTGCCGGAAAGCGTATCAAGTACTTTTCTGGACTGGTAACTGAGAAACCATCTCAAGGCTCAGACAAATAAAACTTCCAAAATGCCCTAAAAACTCGACTTTCATCTACTTGCTTCAAAGACTTGGAGCACCGGTGGAACAGCATCTTGGCTGCCATGCAACACGCTGGAGCCCATGCTTGCGGCACTATCAATCGTCATCACACTAGTCATCGGGTAGGTCAGTGGAGCTGTTGGAATCCAGAAGAATACTTCCGACTGGCTTTGAACACGATGTGACCAGACGGACTAGTAGACGCGAGTGGAATCGGAGTCCGCATGCTGACGAAGAAGCGCGGCGGACTAAATGGGCTCAGAAAATGGAGGATGCCGGATGAGCAGGCAATCACCACAAACTCTTCCAGCTGATCCGTATCACTGGCCTCAGGAAGGAGAATACGGATGAACCAATTCACAATAAAGCACGCTGTATGGATCGTGGGGTGGAGCGCTTTCAAAAGCTCCCTAGCCTCTTCCCATTCAAGCGGGGCAGGCTGAGCCATGGCCGGCTAGTTAAGAGCAGGGGTGTCCAAACTTTTCGCATGGAGGGCCACTTTTAGTGAGGTAAAAATATGTCAGGTCATATTCAGTCTGGCATTAAGATAATAAGAAAAAAGGACACATCTCACAAATTTGTTATTACAAGTTTTGAATGTGAATGGTAAAACTGAAATCTGGAGATCTTTTGTAGTTTTTGAGTTAGTTAAGACCCTTTTGTAAAGTTATTAGATTGACATTCCCTAGTCGGTTAAAAATAAACAAGACTAAAACATGCCAGTATCTGAGGACATCACATTATACAATCATAACGCCCTTAGATTTTGTAATCTATATAATGTCGTCTGTACGGACAAAACACAAACTTGAATTTATTATCTCATGATGAGGCCGCGGGCCAGTTGAAATGTTAACGCGGGCCGCATTTGACCCACGGTCCGGACTTTGGACATCTCTGGTTTACAGTACGAGTGCACAAGTAGATCGCCTGGGCTCTTCAGAAGCCCAGCTAGGTGGTCTATATGGGCTTAACTCCAAACGTACAGACAACGGCGAGCGTCTTTTGCAACTGTGGACGGATCATCAGCTGCTTCTTAGTAGCACTGCTTTCAGATAGTGAGTGCCACTTGAGGTCCTCCTGTAGCTGGCCAGCGATGGACCCAAATTGACCACATTGCCATAAGTTACAGGTGGCGCGGTTCCATTCTGGATTGCCGCTCGTACTGGAGTACCTGCGTCGACTCTGATTATGCCTTGGTATGCTGTCGCCCTTCCAGAAACTTTACGGGGAGGCACACAAAGCGTCTTCCCCGATTGACAATTAAGTTACCTAAGCCTTCAGTCAGGCAAGCCTATCAAGATGCACTGCGTATCGAATTTTCGCTCCCTTGTCCTAATGACATTGAGGTTCAGTAGAATAGGATCTCCGCGTCACCATGCACGACGCAGGATCATCCGCTTGTGTTACTATCAGTCGTCACCGCACCTGTCACTGCATACCCGAGAGGTCGGTGAACCTGTTGAAATGCAGAATGAAACTCCCGGCTGGCTCTGAGTACAATATGACCAAACGGACTATAAGGCGCGAACTAAAGCAGGGCCTGCGCGCTGACAAGGAAGCCTGGGGGAATAGTCGGGCTCAAGAAATGGAGGAGGCGAAAGCAGTAGGGAACTATCGCAAACTCTTCCAGCTGATCCGCGCCACTGGTCCCAGGAAACCAGGCGTCAGTGAAACAATCAGAGACAGCGCGGGTGCGCTGATACACAATAAGGAGCGCCGTATGGCTTGTTGGACGAAACACTTTCAAGAGCAGTTCAGTTGGACACCTGCTCCCGGACTTCTTCCCACTCAGGTGATGCAGAATGAGCCATGGACGGTTAATTTAGAGGCTCCGTTGGAGGCTGAGGTCCGAAACGCGATGAAGCCCTTAATCGCTTTCGTGCCACTGACCCGGATTCTCTGCTACATGCATTATTTAAGAATGGAGGTAAGGTTCGCTTCAAAGCAATGACCACAGTGTTCGGACATGAATGGAAGCAGGAAACCGTCCCAGTTAACTGAAGTGAGTCGATTATAGTAGCAATATACAAGAAGGGTAGTCGCCCCAACTGTGCTAACCACAGGGGAATACGTCTAACGACCGTGGTGACAAAAGTACTGGTCTCAATTCTAGTTCGGGAAAGCCACATAAGGGAAGAGCAGGCAGGTTTCCGCCCAGGACGGGGCTGCGTTGACCACATATTCACTTTGCTGAAGGTACTAGAGCAGCGACACGCATACCACAGACTGACAATAGGTGGGTTGCTCGATTTCAAGAGTGCGTTCGATTCAGTCGACCGATACATTCTGTTCGGAATACTTACGCGAAAAGGCGTTCCCATGAACTATGTGAACATGTTACGTGCTCTATACTGAAATACCGCAGGGCACGTCAGGATCTACACAGACCTGTCGGATAAATTTCGGACAACAAGTAACATTCGTCAGAGTCGTCCAATTTTCATGGTGGATTGCATCATGGAATGTTTGCTTGCGGATTCTCACGATGCATGCTATGAGGTGCTGCCTAGTGATAGGCTAGTTGATCTTGATTATGCGGACAATATCGTCTTGCTTTTTAACGATGTTGGGGTAGCGCAATCAACTCTGAATAGCTTCCCTAGAGTGGTCCGACTATTTGATATGCACTTCGAACCTTAAAAGTGCAAAGTACTGCTGCAGGAGCATTAGCCACTCGATAACCCCTTGACCCTTGATAAGGAGGAACTCGAGGTGGTTGATTAATTCACTTACCTTGGCAGAGCATCAGAAACGATAAGTGTATATCTAGAGGTCAGTTCAGGTATTGCAAAAGCCAGAAGTGCCTTGTTAAATCTGCGATATCTATGGCGACAGAAAGGGGTTACTTCCCGTTTAAAATACCGTGTTTACAAGACCACAGTGATGGTTGCTCTACCTTTTGGGAGTGAGACTTGGCCCCTTCGGACCGAAGGTCTGATGCATCTCCAAGTCTTTGGTCATTGCTATCTGCGGAGCATTGCTGGTGTCGGATGGCACCAGCCTGTTCGCAACGATGATATGAGTAGGCGAGTGTAAGGCAGTGATACTTAAGCGTTCCTTAGAAAAACAGTTAGCACTGAGTAAATTGGGTTGACTTGGGCACGTACTATGTATGCCTGATCACCGCTTACCTAGGAACGCCTTGTTTTGTCTGCCAGATGTAGGGTGGTGCAAGATTCGAGATGGACAGAAGTTGACTTGGCAGCGGGAAATGAAATCACTGACGACCAAACTGGGTGCCGTTGGTCCGTCTCACCACCCGGGTTGGAGTCCACGTGACTCGCCTTGTGCTTGACTCGAGACTTTACAGGACATGGCTCGCAACCGACACCAGTGGCACGTCTGCTGCCGTCTCCTAGTCGGACTGCCTGTTTAACGTGTGCTTGGTGCTGAGTTATCTGCGGGGTAACGGTTAATTATGATGTGGGCCAGTGATAGCCGTAAGGAAGCTGTCTCTCTAATGCCACTTTATCTTTGCACGATAGCCAGCTGTCTGTGATGTTGTTAACACAAGGTGTAGACGCCTTGACCCTGAATGTTTGCTTAGGGTATTAAGGTTTTCTGGTAAACCCCCTTCTCTCCCTCTTATTATCCTTCGTTTCGTAGGTCATCATGGTGGTACGGCAGCGAAGCATTAGTTCAAATGGCTGATGTGTTGCTGGTTTAGAGGCTTCATCAGAGTTTGGCATCCGAAACGCGCTCACAGTCCTTAATCGTCTTCGAGTTGCTGATGCAGATTCCCTTGCACCTATCCAATTTAACGATGAAGGTGGGGTTCTATGCAAAACATTGGCCCACCTGTTCAGGCAGCTCTGGAAGGAAGATACCATTCCAGGAAACTATAGTGAACCAATCATAATGGTGATATATAGAAAGGGTAGAACGGCATCAGCCTGACGTCGCTAGTGATGTAGCTAATGGTCTCAATTGGCGTCCGCCAAATTATTGCGGGACGAGAATCACAGGTGAGTGAAGAACAGGTAGATTTCCGTCCAGAAGGGGCTGCAAATCGTATATATTCAATCGGCAATAGGTGACAGAACAGCGTCAGATGTACCGTAGACCGATAACAGTTGTTTTTCGATTTCAAGGTTGCGTTCAACTCAACCAGAGGCTCCATCCTCTTCGACATATTTATTCGAAATGGTATTACCATCAAGTAGGCGGACATTCTTAGTGACGTGTACTAGGGGGCGCATTAGAGTCAGTGTTGGGCCGTCAGACAACTTTTCGACGAGTAGTGCTCTCCAGAGTTGTCCCATCTTTGTTTGTGGGCACTAAAATGCTGCCTGGCGCAGATTTGATTGACTTGAATTACACGAACGATAACGTCTTGCTGTTTGCCAGTCGCAAGGCGGCGGCTCAGTTGATATTGGTGCCATCATTTGGTATGCGCTTCGCATCTTCAAAAACCAAAATGCTCTTGTCGGAACACCAGCCAATGGATAACTCTGACTTTACGATGAGAAAGTATTTGGCCAAATTTCGCATCTTCGCAGTTGCATTAGCAGCGATGGGCGTGTGGCTGCTGTACTTCGTTCAAGTATTGTGGAACCCAGAACAGCCTTCTTAAAACTGCAACATCTGTGGCATCAGAAAGGGGATTCCTTCGGTCTAAAAGGTCGGGAGTACAAGAGAAAGGTGAGACGGCCACTGCGGCCTGAGGATCGCCTATAATCATGCCCTACGAAAAAGCAACAACAGTACACTGGCACGTTGTACCGACGATTTGCCGCCATGCGACCACCGTGTGCCGCGCATGGGCTGGGTATACAACAGTGAGATCACCCGCATCTACGTGGATCCGGACCGGTGACCTCTATATCGCAAGGCAAACGTGTAACTATTTCGACCACCGGCCGAAACAATATTGGTGTCGAATGGCATCAAGGTGTATGCAATAATGAGGTGCACAAGCGAGTACTAAGCGGAGATAGTGAAGTTAATTCATTAGAACGACAATGTCGAATAAGTCCCGTTGGCTTAGACACGTGCTACGTATGCTCCGTTATCGGTTTCCGAGAAGTCTTGTTTTGCCTGCCAAAGGTAGGTGAGCAAAAGTTGACTGAATAGCGGGAAATAAAGTCACTAACCACAAAACCGGGTGCTGTTGGTCCGTCTTGTCTTTCAGGCTGGAGTCCATGTGACTGGCCCTATAATGGCTTGAGACGCGTCACAGGACATGGCTCACAATCGGCATCGGTGACTTTGTCATCTCGTCGTAGTCGAACGGTCTGTTTAACGTATGTTTTATGCTGATTTATCTGCTAGGTAATGACTGATTATGAACGCGCGGCGGGGAGTCACAAGTAAGCCGCCTCTCGCTGATGCTGTTTTATGTTTACATTAGAATCAACTGTCTATGACCGTGTGTTGTCGACAAAGCGATTTGGCTCTAAATGTTTGTCTATGGATTTAGGTTCCCTACACAAAGGCCCCATTACACCACTTTAATTTTCCCCACTACCTAGGTTACCGTGGGTGTACGACAGCGAAGCCCCAGTTCAAACGATTGATGTTCTGTTGTTGTTGGTTCTGAGGAAAACAGTATCTTGCCTGAGTTCCCCACAGCTGCAACCAGTAACTTATTCATGAGCTGTCATGTCAGAAATAACGAGACACTTTACGATGACGTGATCAGAGCTTCTAAGGGGTGCCTTCTTACACATGGAAAACACTTTCCTGATGTCAGCAAGTCTGTGATTTCCCCTGGTCTAACCTTGGGTCGCATGTTGTTTTCCCGCCCCATATTTGTAATGAATGTAGAGTGAAAACTATTAAAATTATTAGCAGAAATACACACGAAATATCTCAGGTGTTCAAGGACAACAGCTGTGCTAGAGCCCAGTTAGCTTGTAAATTATGTAGCCCAGCCGACGTCCCCCATGGCTCAGTGGCTTAAGCTGTTGGTTAGTGCGCATCTGCCTCTAGCAGTCATGGGTTCGATCCCCAGAAGGGGATCGAGGGAATGCGCACCACTAACGAGCCTCAATAGGGCGAAACACTCTTCTGGTGCTTTTCCGGATTGGGAGTTGTGATATGTGGCTTGTAAGTTACTAGAACGAAGAGATTAAATTACAACTAAAATGTATTCGTGAGCTGTGAATTCATCGTAAATGGCTTTCGATTCAAGAACAAACGTATGTCAGGCATTTGAACGGGACACTGCTGTCACACACACTTTACCAGAGGAGTCCAGACAAGGACAAAATCGGTCATGGGATGTCAGTGTTGGAAGGAGCATCGAAACATTTCCATTTCAGATACGGTCCTTGAGATCGGAATGACCGAGGTCTACTTCCAAGTGAACCGAGGTCTCAATAGAGATTGCGGGTCGTAACTCAACGCATACGACAGGCACTCCATAACCAAATTTGAATTCCTTACCGCTGTGCCAAGCGTTGCTCACGGATCTCCATTTCGGATACGGTCTTTGTGATTGGCAGGTACTCCCAAGCTCAGGATATCACTACCTGATGAGTCCAAACAATGACGAAACCGATCAGGGGAAGATCAACATTGAAACCTGTCCAATACAAGATTTCCTCTACTTATACGTATTCCAAGAGTGCAGTCACGAATAACGAATTGTCTTAAAAACAGTAAGATCGACAGATTCCTGGCAGGCCCTAAGTTGTGAAAAATAACAGACAGACCAATGAAAGTACGGGAGACTGGGGATGGTACTTCACTGCTACGGTAGATATGAATAAGCAAGAGCTTAACACAGTTCTAGCATAAAATCGTACCTCTCATAATGCTGAACGGGACAAGAAAGATTTTCGAAACAGAAAATACACACTCACAATGCTGACGTATTCATCCGGAGACATGGTCATATTGGTTTACCGTAGCATACGGCTGGCAACCGCCGCCAGCCATGTTAAGGAACTGCCTGCGCCTCGCATGCACAACGCTCATTGTGGTTGTGTCACCACTGAGCAATTGCTCTTCTGCCGGTGTAAGGGCCTAATTTAAACGAATAAAAACAGAGGAAGCTAGGTGGAAGCCAGCAACAAAATAGCTGCGGTAAATGTAAAATCAACAGAAAACAAGTGATTTAGCACAAAAGGAGATTGAACAATGCTGCTCAGTTCAGCATACCAAACACGGTTCATCGGTCAAAGTTGGATGGATTGGGCTATCCTGAGTCGGGTAATCAACATGACTTGCTTGTGAGTATCGGGGTTCCGAAGTAAATTGTATGGGTCGTCCATCTCGGTTGACTAGCAGTAAACCTTACACACATCGTAACAAAGATGCTAAAATTCATGGAAAAGTGATGCTCCCCTTTGGTTTTGTCTCGTTTTTTTACCAATGAACCAGTGATTGAAACAACCGACTAGATTTGAGAGTATATAACCAGATCAGAAATAAAAATGTGTATATGCGCGCATGAAGATTGTTGCGCTGCACCTGGAATGTGTGGTTTCTGGTTAATGGCAAATACGAACGGCAGGATGGCTTGGCTATGGGAACCTCTCAGTTTGCTGCTGTCGGATATTTTCATGATAAAGATGGACAGAACCAAAATGCGAGTGAAGATAAACACTTTTGAGTTACCATCGCTACACAGACGCTATATTTGCTGTGGTGGATGAACGTATTAACCTGGATGAAAGTCTTCACCGCTTTACATACGAGCGCATGCGGCACGGCGGTTTACTTATGAAAAGGAAGCCGACAACCGGCTGTCTTGTATATGTTTTCAACCAGAAGACCAGATAGCTCCATCCAGCGGCAGATCTACAGAAAGACAACGTATAGTGGACAGTATAAGAACTTCCACAGTCTGTTCGTCTGAGATGCACTAGCTTATCTCAACAGCACGTCGAATCTGCCCGGATGCTGTAATCAAGCTCATATAGCATACTCTTTGCGGAAATGGAGATCCCTTTGATTCCACAGCAAATAAAGGACAAAGTCCCGGTCTGGTCAGAATCCTAAGTCCTATCCCAATTCACTTGTACCTGTGACGCAAAGCATCTTGAACACACGACCAGGTGATTGTTCAAACGGATTGCTAAACACTGTCGTACATCACTGCGGAAAGATACGGTGAAGAACGTCAACAGTTACGAACTGAAACACTTGGTGGAAAGCGGTCATCAAGTGCGGATAAATGAGTCCTATAATTCGTTTATAGCATCCCTAGACGCTACCCAAAAAGGCTTGGGAAACATCTAATGGTCATCATAAAAGTCATCGCAATCAGGGTGTTGAAACCAAAGCTGTGTAAACAGCATGCTCTGTTACAAGCTTTGAGCTTACCTTGGCCGTGAACTCGCTCCAACATTCATTATTCAGTGTTGCGCACGTGTGTTTCCGCACGCTGCCAGGTCCTATTTAAAAAACCTGTTTAAGGCGACCAATCATAGGACCGATAAAAAGTGGTCGCCTTGGACAGGTGGTCACCATAGGTAAGTTCACACATAGGGGCATTACTCATAGGAGAAAATATTGGGGATGTTTTTGGCTGGTTCTCACAGACAGATGGTCGCCATAGCTGGTTGGACTGTATTAGTAACAGTCTAAGGAATAGACATAGAGCCAAATAAAACCATGAAAATTACTAGAAGAAGACAGGGTTACTCATTATCATCCTCATGATGCCCGTTAGCTGCAGGCGGAAAAAACCTCAACTATTGTGCCGAAACCAGGGTTAATCACTGCATTGTCATCACCATGCCACACTAGCTGAAGATGAACAACACACTTCAGCTACTGTGCCGCAAGAAGGACGGAATCGTTGTTATTTTTTCACATGCCAATGTTATTTTTTATCTTTTTGTCTAAACAATGTACACAGATCTTCTGCTGGCTTCAATTGCGCGCCATCGGGACTCCTCGTTCTTTCTTCTCAAACCAGACAGAGGTATGGATCCAATGGCAGCAAGACGTGAAACCAACGATTTCATATGCCGTCATGAGGTGGACGGTTGACCACCTCGTAGTCTCTTCCAGTGAAGTTCTGCGTGAGCGAAAGTGGCGCAATGGGACAAACGGTCGGCTGACATACGCAGGACGTGACCAAACCATCTTAACTGAGGTAGCAAAACCAGCTTGTTGAATATACGCATTCCCTAAGACACGACGTTTGACTTCACTGTTACAGATACGTTGTTGCCACCACACATAGACAATTCTCCTCAAGCAGAGATCAGTAGCTCTATGCTGGTCCATATCACCGACACTAGGCATTAAGCGGATCTAAAATATATCCTTAGAATAGTGTACAAGATTCTCTCGCATCAATCGAAAGGTCACCGCCTGTGAACATTTGCGACGGCCGAAGCAATTGGCATTCGATTTTTTCAACCGTCCTTATACACACAGAAGCTCGTCTAGGCTCTTCAACTTCCCTGGCCAACCAAAACGACACTGAGGTCGACAACCTTAGGTCAAACTCCGCAGCATGCAAGTAACTCATTAAGGCATAGTATGGATTTTGTCTGCGATGCCGACCCTCACGTGATCCGTGTAACATGCACCAAACGCGTCGATTTCAGTTGTTTAGCCTCCATATATATGGTTGTAATGGACTGAATATGGACCATTGAAAGCAACTGTCTATCAAATAGTCTGTAGTTCTCGAAAACTTAATGGGAATTTTCGTGCTACAAAAGTGAGAAAACCGCTTAGAAACAATGGTCAAGATGTGTAAAAAAATGTTGGATGAGAGAATCGGGTAAAACAATGCCATTGGAAGGGTGAAAGCGTCAAGCTCGGTTGGATTCATAACCTATGAGAACGGACCTTGAGAATCTAGTCCAGGGAGACGAAAGAAACAAAACGGCTTCAACGTTCATACAGTTCCACCGTCGTTGAGTGACCACCAGAAAGATTCCCGAAGCCAGCTGCATCAATGGCAAACGACAAGCGATGAGAGAGGTAATGAACACGTGAAGAACCGCGTAGTTTATCTAAGAGCAAGAGAGCGTGCGCTACCAAACTGAAGAATTCCAAAATGAAAGGCAGCAGTACTGCACCGGATGTCCGCCAGTCACGTGCGGGTTTGAGATAATGCGAGGTTGCTTGGGTCTAAGGGAGTTCGACCTGTAAACTTTGGATTACAAACCAGACACGTGAAACTCGCGGCTACGGGCCGGTTCAGGTTTCCAACAAGATAGGAGCCAAGCTGTATACGTATCCGTGATCAAACATTGTCGATCGCCTGAAGTTTTCAGCGTACAGTAAGGATGGCTGAATTGGGGTGCTGTATACCACGGATCTTTGGTTGCGTCTACAAGTGACGGAGGCTCTTCAAAAGTCACACGGGCAATAACAATGCATGCAGAAACTCATTTGGTGATATAAAAAATACCAGAAGTACGCCGATACGCGCAGTACCGATGCTTTGCTGCCGCGCAATCACCACCAATCGCATGTGGGCTAAGGATACTGCGAGGGTCACCCGGTTCCCTACGCAGGCTCGAACCTGCGCCCTTGGAATTAGAAAGCAGGCTGTGATCTTTAAGGCTAGGGGCCGGTCAGCGGTGCGATAGCCAGTAGTGACATCAGGAGAAGGGTAAGTGAACTGACTGGAGCAGTCTCCCGGTGGTATTAAGTGCTGACGTATTGAACCAAATTGTTGGAGGTGTAAAAGGAAGACCGATGTGCGCGGCAGTGACAAGCGTCTGCCATTTCAGCATCGCTTGTGCATCAGCTGGGGAGGGCCCACAGAATTGTTATCCGCGTGACAGACAGTTAATAAACAGCTGAAGGGAGATTGCTCAATTGGATCATACCTGCTCTTTCCATACCAGGAAATTCATCGCGACTTTGAATGAATGTGATCGAAGTCAGTTGATCTGGAACTAGCCAAAGATGGTATGTGGCGACTAAAGCCAACTAATCTGAATAAGAGTCAACTGACGAGGGTGGATGGCAGGTTCAGCCGATTCGTAGTATAAAAACAATATTCGGAAAGGTCGCTGGTTCAGCAGTATGGTCAGATCCATTATACTGATAAACGCTCACATCTCTGATCAATACAGCTGGCCTGCAGAACAACCTCGTGGGGTTCGGGATCATCCCATTCTGGTGGATAGTTCGGCGATAGTGTTTCAGGAAGTGGTGGGTTTTCGCTTGCTAAGCATTCTCCACATAAAATCTCCATATGTCCGTCGAACAACAATATGAAATGGCGAATGCCACTCGCCAATGAGGCGAGTAGCTGAGGTGTGTTTCTCACCATCGGCTAACGTGTACTGATGATGATGCAGCGCAAGTCACCCATGGACCCGTTGTAGGCATAGGCGTCCCGTGGCTGCCCCATGGAGGCTGTAGTGACAGGCAAATCCGGAATCGGATGCCGCCAATCATAGGTGAAGGCACAGTAAACAATGAGAAGGGGGTGTGTGGGCATGCATATGGTAAACATGACCTAGAAGCCAAGGTTAGTAAGACTAAACACGCGATCCACAGTGCGAGGCCAGAAGAAGGGAAAAGCACCCGTGAGTTAAACAAGCGTGGTTTATTTCCGTTTTTCAGTACATAGTTGTTATGTTATTAAATCGACCATTAGAAAGAACGAAACCAAAGGTCGCTGGTGGCAGGGACATATCTAAAGTCGACAGTCAAAGTGCTTCATGTCACTTTAATTATTTAATGTACACTACACTGGAAGATGGTGCTGAAACAAAAATTTAGGAGAATATGTAATGTATAGTGGGTAGAAAATCGAGGCGATAATGGCAGGTGAAGGTAACCACAAATTATGAAGTCTCATAAGAAGCATTCACACGTACAGCAGACGCTACGGTTCAAGGCATACAGAACTTGTCGATGGAAGAGCTACTACGTTGAATATCTTAGACAAGCAAAAACTGTGGGGACAATGCCTTAGTTTTGCATCAAAAAAGCACAATTCAATTCATTAGCATAGTCAAGTAGCTGAGCAGCATTAATGGTGACTTACAAAAAAACTTGATGGACTGTTCCTACTATGTGAAAGAGCCGTACAAACAATCGCTTCAGCTTCAGCTGCGGCCACAGGATCGTCACGTGTTCGGTATACAGCCCAAGAAGCAGGCTGGACGACTAACAGTAGGACCTCGCTAGAGTACATTTTTATCAGTTGGACGGCTTCCTTGTGCAACAACCCGGCTGAAAAACGGAATGACATTAACAACAAACCAACCAAGTGGTTTTCCATTGATTTTCAAAAGAATATCACCATTTAACAGCCCGCATGATTCAGCAGGAGAGCCGGACTCAACATTTTCCACGAGATGCTTCCCACTGTTTCCATCAGTGCGCAGACTGAAACCGTATCCACAAAAATCATCAACGGCTTTTAAGTGACACTGCCTAGGCCCGGAAACACTAGGCGCAGGTACGCAGTTCATCTGCGCGATGGTAAGAAATGGGAAGACACCGTTGTAGTATACGTCCGACCGAAGATTCCGAAAGATTCCGTGTCCAATGTGGACTAGGTCGTAATAGACTCAGGGGCTGCAATGTAAGACAAATACCACGTAGACACTTGGATGAAAAATGCCACAAATGATTAGTAAGATATGTAAGGGAACCATTAAATGAGAGTACCAAATCAGTGAAAGATTAGGTTCATTTCACATAAGGAGATCCTGATTCGCTTCAGCGCCTGACGACGGTAGATCGCAAGCTAGGCAGAGGTATACGCAGGTATATTCTGACGATGGATCAGCCACGCAGCAGAGGGCACAATCACAACAAACCAGTGGCAACCAAGCAGAAAGCACACAAAGAAGAGCTTGGACGAGTTGTTGTATATACGGTTAATCAAAACAAAACTGTATATGAACTGCCGCGAAATGTGAAAGAGTAAAAATAAAAATAAGCAAATTGTTTACAATCGTCACAGTACTCCTCCTCTAGAACGGGTACTGGAAAGAAACTCTCGACAGGATACCGATGGAACGTATTGATCAATACGACCGGAACGTGTGTGTGCGTAGAGTTGTTCGTGGTCGACTCAGGGACGGGAATGTTCTGGGGAGGATGAAACATGGTCAGGATTACCAACTGGTGGTCTAATGTAAGCAGGTTTAAGACAACCAATGCTTACGGATTCTTTTGATCCATTCTTCTTCAAAACGAAATACTTCGGTTTCCGAGATAAGACCTGATATGGGCCTTTATATGGTGGAGTCAAGGGTCTTCGGACGGCGTCGACGAGAATGAAGACAAACGGACAATTGTTTAAATCGGGGTGAATGTGTTGTTTACACAAGTTAGGCTGCGTAGAACACAGTCGAATGGATCGGGAAGGTTGTTTGGGAGGTTCTGCATACGACGTGGGGCCTATTTATCCGGTGACGCGAGTCAAGTACTATTTCACCAGGCAGTCCGAGGTTCGTACCGAACAAGATTTCTGTTGGGCAGCACCAAATGTCCTGTTTGATGGTAATGCGAATGCCAAGGAGGATCGCAGGGAGGTTATCAGACAAAACTGAATCGGGTGAACTAGCCATAATGGTGGTTTTAACTGTGGATGAAAGCGCTCCACGAGACCATTGGCGGCAGGATGGTACACGGTTTTTCGTATGCGAGCACAACCTGACAAACGACTCAAATCACGAAACAATGTGGAACTAAACTGAGTCCCTCTGTCGGTATTGATGGTGACTGGAACACCAAACAGTAAAATCCAAGGTTTAACAAAGGTACGAGCAAGAAATTTAGTAGATGTATCACGTAGAGGAACAGCTTGTGGCCAACGAGTAGAACGGCAGATACGTCAAAAGATAAGTGAAAACGTTGGAAGGAGGTAATAACCCACGTGAACGTGTCTGAAAGGTGGGGCAGGGAGTAAAATAGCACCTGGGATAGTAATAGTGTAGCGATGAATTTTGCTAGTCTTGTAATTAAGATAAGATTTAGCCCACTGTCGAATGTCCGTCGCAAGGAGACTGGACCTTAACGTGGTGCGACGGTTTGCCTACCTCAATGACCCATTGAGCTATACTGGGTGATGCCTCCGAGCATCTTGAGAGCTACTCATACCAGGTTGGTCAATGGTGAGAGGTCAGACAAACTCAGTCTCCTGGTCCTCCAGGTTGGGGGTTTGAAATGGGATGGCGTCCATTTCTGTAAAACTAAATCATTACCACCTCCCCGCTGCCTTGCGGACAGGCTTTTGAGCCAAAGGCTTTGGATGAGGACCCTAATCGTCCTCCTGTCTAGGTCTGGGCGCCCTGGCAGTATCCCAGCCCACATACAACCATGACATTTTCTTCAAACATAAACTTCATCCTGCATCGGTCGTCGCGCAGATTATCAAGGGTCGCCTTGTCTGCTGCATACAGCAGGGCGGATAAGCGAAAACATGCTACTGCTGGCGCCTCCCTTCTTCCTTTTCCACCTTTTTCTCTTACTCCCATCCCGGTCCCTATTACTAACCTTCCTTCTATAATTCCCAGCTTCATTGACAGCAACCGAAGTGCTACTGGAGTAGTACCGTCTGCAGCCACCATCCCACAGCACCTATGGGACGCCTATCGGCAAAAGTCCCTTATAAGGCCACACCGTCCCGTTTCCATGGTGACATTCAACGTCCACACTCTGAGACAAACAGGTCAGCAGACTGCACTCGCACGCACCTTGGATACACTGGGTGTTGATGTGTGTTGTGTGTCCGAAACTAAGATTAATGACCCTAACGGGGTTATTGAATTGACTGCACCCGGCTTTTCCTCTCGTTATTGGTTGCACGCATCCGGAGACGCCGATGCGGCACTCACGGGTCAAGCTGGTGTAGGTATCATTCTCAGTTCCAAGGCTGAGTCATCGTTGGTTGATTGGATTCCGGTGAACAGCCGTTTATGTGCAGCCCGTTTGACGACATCAGCTAAGGTGAATGCGCGAAGTAAAACAAAACGCTGTTTGTTTGTGATTTCTGCTTATGCTCCCACCGACTACAGTTCTAATGCAGTCAAGGACACTTTCTATCGCGAACTGAACACGCTGCTACGCAGTGCTACTAGTTCAGATATTATAGTACTTACAGGGGATATGAACGCACAAGTAGGGCGTCTGAGCTCTTCAGAAGCTCAGCTGGGTGGTAAGTATGGACTTAACGCCGAACGGACTGAAAACGGCGAGCGTCTGCTGCAACTGTGTGCGGAACACCAGTTGTTTCTTACTAGCAATGCTTTTAGACACAGTGGGCGCCGAAGTGCCACTTGGCGTCCACCTGTAGATGGCCAGCGATGGACCCAAATTGACCACATAGCCATAAGTTACAGGTGGCGCGGTTCCATTCTGGATTGCCGCTCGTACTGGAGTACCTGTGTCGACTCTGATCATGCCTTGGTGCGCTGTCGTTTCTCCATGAACTTTACCGGAAGGCGCACAAAGCGTCTCCCCCGATTGGCAACGGAGAAATTGTCCCAGCCCTCTGTCAGGCAAGCCTATCAAGAAGCACTGCATAGCGAACTCTTGCTGTCTTGTCCCAATGACACGGACCTTCAGTGGAATAGAATCTCGACCGCTATGCACGACGCAGGAGCATTTGTTTGTGGCACTATCAGTCGTCACCGCAACAGTCACTGGATATCCGAGAGGTCGGTGAACCAGTTGGAAGCTAGAAGACACCTCCCGGCTGGTTCTGAACACAATGTGACCAGAAGGGCTATTAGGCGTGAACTAAAGCGGAGCCTACGTGCTGACAAGGAAGCCTAGTGGACCAGTCGGGCTCAAGAAATGGAGGAGGCAGGAGCAGTAGGCAATTACCGCAAGCTCTTCCAGCTAATCCGCACCACTGGTCCGAGGAAACCAGGCGTCAGTGAGACAATCAGGGACAGCGCGGGTGCGTTGATACACAATAAGGAGCGCCGTATGGCTCGTTGGGCTGAACACTTTGGACATCAGTTCAGCTGGCCCCCTGCTCCCGGACCTCTTCCTACTCAGGTGATGCAGGACGTGCCATGGACGGTTAGTCTAGAGCCTCCGTCGGAGACCGAGGTCCGAAACGCGATCACAGCCCTCAATCGTTTTTGTGCCGCTGGCCCGGATTCCCTCCTACCTGCACTATTTAAGGATGGAGGTGAGGTCCTCTGCAGGGCACTGACCTCCCTATTCGAACGTATCTGGAACGAAGTGAGTGTGCCAGCTAATTGGAGCGAATCGATTATAGTGGCAATATACAAAAAGGGCAGTCGCACAGACTGTGCGAACCACAGGGGTATTAGCCTAACGCCAGTTGTGACAAAATTACTGGCCTCGATTATCGTTCGTCGACTCATTGCAGAACGGGAATCCCGGATTAGGGAAGAACAGGCCGGTTTTCGCCCAGGACGTGGCTGTATGGACCATATATTTACTTTGCGGCAGGTGTTAGAGCAGCGCCACGCATACCGCAGACCGACAATAGCTGTGTTCCTCGATTTCAAGAGTGCGTTCGATTCAGTCGATCGATCGATCTTGTTCGAATTACTTGCGCGAGAAGGTGTTCCCACGAAATATGTGAACATCCTTCGTGCTCTATACTCGAACACTACAGGCTGCGTCAGGGTCTATGGTGCCCTATCGGATAGCTTTTCGACTACAAGTGGCGTTCGACAGGGTTGCCCGATTTCCCCGTTTTTGTTCAATTTCGTCGGGGATTCTGTAATGGAGTGTTCACCTGGGGAATCCCATGATGTAGGCGTTGAAGTGCTGCCTGGTGAACGGTTAGTTGACCTAGATTATGCCGACGATATCGTCTTGCTTTTCGACAATGTTGAGGCGGCACAATCAACCCTGAATAGCCTATCCAGAGTGGTCCCATTATTCGGTATGCACTTCGCCCCTTCAAAGTGCAAAGTGTTGCTGCAGGACCACCAGGCACTCGATGACCCCTTGACGCTTTCTAACGAGGAACTCGAGGTGGTTGATCAATTCACTTATCTTGGCAGCTGCATCAGCAATGATGGGCGCATAGAAACTGACGTGAGCTCACGCATTGCAAAGGCCAGAGCTACCTTCTTGAACCTGCGGCATCTTTGGCGACAGAAGGGAGTTTCCCTCCGTCTGAAAGGCCGTGTATACAAGGCCACAGTGAGGGCCGTTCTGCTCAATGGTAGTGAGACTTGGCCTCTTCGGTCTGAAGATCTGAGGCGCCTTCAAGTCTTTGATCATCGTTGTTTGCGAAGCATTGCTGGTGTCGGATGGCACCAGCGTGTCCGCAACGATGATGTGCGTAGGCAAGTACTAGGTGGTGATAATCATGCTAGCTCCCTAGAACCACAGATAGCACTGAATAAGTTGCGTTGGCTCGGGCACGTGCTACGCATGCCTGGTCACCGCTTATCTAGGAGGGCCTTGCTCAGTCTACCAGGTGTAGGATGGCGCAAGACTCGAGGTGGACAGAAGTTGACTTGGCAGCGGGAAATGAAGTCACTGACGACCAAACTGGGTGCCGTTGGTCCGTCTCGTCTTCCGGGTTGGAGTCCACGTGACTCACCTTGTGCTTGGCTTGAGACTTTACAAGACATGG